CAATGTATTTAGGCCCCATCTGTGAGAATTTCATAGCTTCCCTTTATTATTGAGATGAATGTATTTAGCCTGTTTCACGCCCAACATATGAGTTTTATTGTTGTCACTTGTACACTGAGTTTGAACCATTTGCAACATATCAGAATAAACTTTATATATATCAGTTAGACTGTTTTAATTCTAATGCAATAACAACAGAAGTGTGGGTCTTACTACAAAGCAAAGATTGTAAGAAGGAAAAATATGAAATTCTTATGTGGTACTGGTACTAGTAGTATTACGTACAAATCACACAAGTTTATCATTCTAAATAGAAAACAACGTAATATAAAACATCCTTTGATTGATTAAAACTTTGGCTATCTAATAGTTATAGATATGCCCATGTGTTCACATGCTCATTCTTTAAAGTGACATTTGGTTTCACCATTATAGGAGACCTTACAGTTTCCGCACATGTATAAGTAGACAAGATATGAACAATGGGCAGTCGGCACTCGATCTCTGTAACAGAAAAAATTTCTGAAATTGGGTTTCATAATAACTTTCAGGTCAATTTGTAGATAGTAAGTCATAACTGACTCTTTCTTAACTAATTTGTTTGTCAAACCAGCTAAGATACCCACTGTACCCAAATTTCCTTTGTACACCAGTTTACCATATCTTGGAAGACAGATGTCCTTTATCAAGGAACAGTTGTATATATTATGTAACTCTTACTGTTCCCAAATTGACCTGAAAATTATTATGAAACTCAATTTCAGACTAAACATTTTTTCTGTTACAAAGATTGTGTGCTAACTGCCCATTGTTCACATCTCGTCTACTTATACACATGCAGAGACTGTAAGGTCTCCTATATTGGTGAAACCAAATGTCACCTTAAAGTACGAGCATGTGAACACATGGGCATATCTATAACTATTAGATAGCCAAAGTTTTAATCAATCAAAGGATGTTTTATATTACGTTGTTTTCTGTACAGAGAATTGTTTATTTTGCTTTCAGTTCAGACATTATTCCCATGGGAAATGCATTGATAAGCTTAGCTGAATTTTTTACGACACTTGTCATATAATTAGAAAGCCAGAGCAATTAGTATAGTTATAGGACATTGTCTGTCTTCTACATGTTATTATTCTGTGTTCTTTGGGTCTTTATTTAATTAAATAAAAAATTATTTAGTGCAGCAGTACCATTGGTATAAAAAAGTTAGGTTAAGTTTCATAGCCAGTTGAAAGCAAAAAATAAGGCAATTTCTGTATTTCTTGATCTTCATGTGTATTATTTATTTATTATTATTCAAGTAACTAAAATGTAAAAAGTAGAAACTTTTTAGGTTAGTTAAGGTTATAGGTAAAACAAATAATGGTATAATAAAACATTTTCATGAGGTATGCTTGTGAGTAACGCGAGTAGCTCGTGCATTATGTAATTCGATAGCATAACGTGAGCTACATGTTTGCTAAGTTATATACAATTTGTGTGGTTGGAATATTAGTTAGACACAATTCAAAGGGCAGTAAATTTTAAACAGTAAAATATAACTTTAAAAAATTTAATTTCATGTTACAATTTGAAGTCATTCTAGGAAGAAGAAAGGGTGATTTAGATATATTTCAAATTTTTGTATGGTGGTTATGAGGTTGACCAAATTAATCAACCTATTAGAGAGTTAGAGTGGAGAAAATAACAGATAAAATATAAAGCTTTACTGGGAAAAAAATGTTTGACATTTATTTAGGATGTTTTAGAGATTATGGAAATTAAATTTAAGATTTTTCATATGAAGAAAAGTATTTTTAATCTTAACAGGAAAATCATTTTGTATTGAGAGTAATCAACACTTTGATTCCACATATTAATGGGTAGAAATTTTTTAGTGAAAATTTTCATTAAAAATCCAGATTTTTTGTTTACAAATGACTCTTAATGCTTGCAGAAAGCTTGCAAAATATTATGAAGATAAACAAAACTCATTAGAAATTATAGTATGGAAACTCTAAAGATCAATTTGAGGTCAATGTTTAGGTTGAATTGACAGAGCCTATAGGGAGAGAACTAACCATAAAGGATCGTTGTTGGATACCATTTTTCATAGTTAGTTATATGAAACCTAATAGAAAACATTTGTGTGTGAGGGTAATCATTATGTTAAAAAAACTACTGTTTGATAGTAGTTTTTTTTATAGAAGCAAAATGTTTCGATTAGTGTAAGATTTGGTTGTTGTGAAGTGCTAAACTACAGTGAGCTATCTGTGCTGTACCCTCTACGAGTATCAAAACCTGATTTTTAGCATGAGCTTGCAGACTCACCACTAAGGGAGTGAGTAATTGTTAAAGCTTAGAAGCAATCAGTGTGAAAAACTTCTTTTAGTTAATGAGATCATCACAATGATGATATTCATGATTTTTTATAGACTGAGACTCGGCAAAAGGAAAAATAAAAATTTATAGTAAAACAAAAAAAATTACTAACCAAATAGGTCATTTGTAGAAAAAAGATATTGTTTATTTTTTATATAGTTTTAGAAAGAACAATTAAGGTTTGTATATATGTACAGCCCTACTTTCTGTTTTTTGTTATTCATCTTACTTATAACTCAATATAATTGTTCAAATTAAAATATTTTTAAAATTTTTTAACAGAAAATTGTTTTTAACTGTAAATACTTTTGTAATATGTTCTGTCATTTGACAAGTTAATTTTGGATCGCTTGGTAAAAATAAGTCTAGTCCATGTAGCAATAGCAAATTAACTTTTATCTTCAATAAATTTGTAGGCTAAATTTTATAAATAAACTAAAACTGCTATAATTTTACAGTGTTTTGCATCTGTTTTTTTATTTTACAGGGAGGCGTGGAATACTGTTGCCACAATATCTTGAAAAAGTAGTTCCAGTCATCCTGAAAGCTCTTGTGTATGATGAAGTAAGAGGAAACTTCTCTGTTGGAGCACATATTCGGGATGCTGCCTGCTATGTTTGTTGGTCTTTTGCTCGAGCATACAGCCCTGAAATCTTGAAACCTTATGTAATGGAAATAGCTGGAGCTTTGCTTGTAACTTCAGTGTTTGACAGGTTTGTCTTAACCCTCTCTGCCCAGGCATTATTTACTGAGCATGTCACAAGGTTTTAGTGGCTTACATTCAAAATTTAGTTAAACTACTTTTTATATATGTTATACCAAATAGTATAGCATAAAATCATAGTTAATAATCTATATTTTAATAGTATGTAAGTTTTATGTTCTTAATTTTATAAAATAATATTAGAAAAAAACCCTGAATTTCCCCTACTATGAGAAATGTAACATATTTTCATAGCTTCCCCTCTTCTCTATTTTATTCACCACTCCTCCAATAAGTACAGAATTTAATGTAAATTACTCACTATAAAATTTTCATTGTTCATAATTGTTATAGTCTTCAATCTTGTTTAATTACAGAGTCATTAAATAGAAAATCAGACACCTCTTGCCACACCCACCTGTCACATCTCTTTCAGGATTTGTTAATAGTTCTTTCTTACTCTTAATACTATATTTTGTATAACCAATAGAAAGCCAAAGTTTTCATCTATCAAATGACGTAGTATATTACATTGTTTTCAGAACAGAGAATTGTCATGTTAGTACAAGCTCTGTTCCCATGGGAAAGATAATGACTAGCTTGCATGAATTTTTAATGGCTCTTGTTGCATAGTTAGAAAGCCAGAAAAATTGTGATAGGGGAAATTGTTTGCTTTTTACATGTTATTAATCTGTGTTGTTTGGTGCATTATTTAATTAAATGAAAAATTGTTTAATGCAGTAGTACCATCAGTACAAAAAATGTAGGGTTAAGTGTCATCAACAGCTGATAGCAAAAAAAAAGATGATGACCTGGGTAAGTCCTTTATTTCGTGTTTTTCATGTTTATTTTAAATTTATTATTATAAAAGTAACTAAATTGTAAGTATAGGGATTTCTTTAGGTTACTTAAGGTTAGATTATGTAAAAATGTACAAGTCAAATTGACCAAATATGTATAGAGTTAGGTTAGAGAAAATAACAGATAAAATATAAAGTTTTACTTTTGAAAAGTAAACGTTTGATATTTATTTAGGAGGTTTTAGGGATTATGCAAATGAAATTTAATGATTTTCAGGTGAAGAAAAGTGTTTTTAATCTTAAAATGAAAATCACTTTGCAGTCAGAGCAGTCAATACTCTGACTCAAGAGATGTTATATTTTTTGTAGCACTACAAACCAATAATAATCTTGCTGCACAGTTACACATTGAGCTTAGGATAGAAATGTTGTGTATTAACATACTTAGCCTCAAATAGCTTCTTTATGTGCTTTTTCCAAGCTGAAATTGGGTTTTAAAGTTGTGTTTAACAGTCTTGGATTCAAGACTGGGACCATGAGGACAAGGGTCACATGGCTAAGGTTGTTTTCATTTGTAGATCAAAGCCACTCTATCTTTTTTTCAATGGAGAAATTTGAATATGCAAACTTTATTATTTTTGGATCAGGAACAATAGCCAGAAAATAAATAATAACTTATTAGCAGCGCTTTATCCCAAAGAGGTCTGCAAATCCAGTGTAACTTCTACAGAGTGGAACTAGAAATATTCATACTTGAATGTATCATATGAAAGACTTAGTTTCATTGATTATACCCAATTTTAGTCACAGCTTTTTTCTAAACACACTGTACTGATTAGCTACAGTGACAAAAAGTCATGTTGCAGTACAGAAACTGCCAAACCCTTTGAAACAGAATTAATAAATTACATCTAATTAACCTTATCACAATTTATTTATTTCAATTAAAATTAGTAATCAGTCAAAATTTAGAAATTTTATGGAAGTTATCTTTCTGAGAAATTACACGACCAATTTGAAATGCTGAAGGTCAAGGATGAGACCTGAGAAAATGTCCTCAAGCTGATCTCAAGGACTCAAACTTATTATTGTACATGTATCACAAAGTTGCAAAATTTTTATAATACATTCAGAAAACTTCACATTCCTTTTAGAAACTTGTCATACAATATGCTAACAGAAAAATAAAATTGTTTGCAAAAGTTGGAGGAAAGACCAGTACCACTGGATATGAAAATTACATTAAATGAAAACAGTCTTGCAATAAGAAATTTTATATATGTTTGCATTGAATAAAGTCTAAGTTTGATCTTCCTACTTGCACACATTATTAATTTTGTCTAATGTCTTTACTTTTTCTAAATGTGACTTTTTTGTGCTAGTTTATTTATTTCTTAATAAAGTAATGCTTGAAATAAAGTTGGACAACCTGAAATTGTTACATATTAATATTACATTATGAATTTGAATTATTAGTTTGTTTATAAATAGTTCAGATTATTGAACTTGAGTATTTTTGGTTTTATCATACTTGTTTTCTTTACTAGCCTATAACCATTTACTGCATGATTTTTTATTATTTTAAGGGAAATAAACTGTAGGCGAGCAGCATCTGCAGCATTTCAAGAAAATGTTGGTCGACAGGGAACTTTCCCTCATGGTATTGACATAGTTACAGCAGTTGATTATTTTGCTGTTGGGTCTCGAACTAAATCTTATCTGAAAATAAGGTAATTATTTTACAACTCTCATGTAGATATCTGTAAATTTGTAAATTGTTTATATTAATACATATTGTGGAAAAAGTAGTTATAGTCATTCAATGTATTCATCAAATTTAAGAAGAAAGTCAGTACTACAAATAATTTAGCTCATACTAAATTTGGTATTAACATTTTGCATATCTCTTTAGATCAATTGTATTTAAACTTGCTGAGTGATTGTGAATTTAATAGAAAAAGGAATTTTGTTGAAAAATGTAAAAAACTTTGGTTTCAAACCAGTTGTTCATACTCGAAATAAAATACTCCAAATACGTCCTTAACCAAATTGATGAAGTTGTTTTTACCTCCAGTATGTTTACTTTTATTTGTAATTACATGCTTGAATATGACTATAACTAAAACTGTTGTCTTAACTGTATAACAACAACATGCTGCAAAGTGCAGCATGTTATGCAAATCTTGTTATATTACTTTCCAAAAATAAAATGAGTGGATAAAATTGTTTAATACTTGACAAGAACTTTCATAAAAGTATGTGGTTTGAGAGAAGTAAAATATTTAATTTAGGTTTTTTCTATTATTTCTAATACAAATTCGTTACTTAATGTAATTATTTGCACTAAGACTCTGAAGGGTTTACCTACAAGGTGATTTTCATTTTGAATATAAAAATACCATTTAAAATCTTAGAGTTTTCACATTTCATTTCCATAATCTCTAGCACCTCCTAAATGATTATCAAAAGTTTTTAATGAGGTAAATGTATATATTTTATTTTCCATTTTCTCTACCAAAGGACTAGTTTAGCTATTATCATGAATGTACAGCACAATGAAATGCTTAAAATTAAGATAAAGAAATATGTGCATACATTTTAACTCTTCTTTTAATAATCTTAAAATATCTTCTTTGGGTCATATGTGTAATTTCACATCTTTATTTTTACACTTATAATTATAATTTATTTTTAATGTTTTACTTTCCTTTCATGTTCTTTATCAACACACATCAACAGATGCCTGCAGGTGATATAATATTAAAATCAACAGTGACAGTCTTAGCCTCTGGCAAAATGTTGTTTGCTCTCACTAACTTTATGAAAGCTTTTTGAAAAAAGTGTACAATAGATTTAAAAAATCCTATCAAATATGACTATTAAAACACAATTAATACATAATTAACTAAAATATAAAAGTAAAACCAAAATGCAGTATAACTGCCTGTCAAAAAACAAAATATGTTTAAGGTGGGGAAAAATAGCCAAGCTCTAGGGACACTGCTCTCAACAATGGACTAAGCTTTTTTTTCCTTGTTTGCAAATGGATACGTATGTCTACATTTACTGTTAATTTAGAGACATGCCAATTTAAAATCTGCTCTTTCTGTTAGTTATAAGCATGCTATTCAACTTAAAACTGTCAGTTAGCAACACAGCTTCTACTTTGCAATTAGGCATGGTATTACAACTGCATTCTTGGGGGACCAGTTCTTGGAATTATTGGTAAACAACCTCTTATATTTTACTTTGAACATCTCGGAGAGACTCTCTATGTTACATATACAGTTTCTTCTATACCAGCTCTTAATGTTGAGAATTGTAACTGCAAGTACATAATGAAAAATCAAAACTAAAGTGTTAAATAATATTTTATAAGTTTCTTTTGAAATAAAAACTTAGATAATATAAAACTTTGAATTATGATATACATGATAATAGTAATTTCATTAAAATACATTGTCAGTAAAGTGGTTTAATTTAATTTTGAATGTAACTCAGTATTATGCACAGAAAGGGTTTTAAAATGGCATCATAGTATTACTTCACAGAATTGCTTATCATAAATGACAGGAGAAAAGCTAACATTCATTTAAAACTAACACCTGATTGAATTTTGTAATATGTTATACTTACTGCAGAAAAGTTGCAATTTTTGTCACAAAAAGTTATCAAGACCTTTAGCATACATTACAAAGTCTTAAGACTCAAACACTTTTGTTTTGTGTCTATATATATAAAAAAAGAATATCTGTGTTTCTGTCTGTTTGTCCATTATCAAACTACTACTACATCCCTGAGCCAACCTCAACATAAGTTTGTGAGATGATATTTTGGAACAAGGGACATGTTACCATTAACAATCCCCTCTACCCCATTATTGTTGTTATTGAGCATTTATTATCTTTGACATAAGTTAACGTTAACTACATTCATGACCCCCCAGTGGCACAGCAGTATGTCTGCGGACTTACAATGCTAGAACCGGGTTTCGATACTCATGGTGTGTAGAGTACAGATAACCCATTGTGTTGTTTTGTGCTTAATTTCAAATAAATAAACAAACAAACAAAAACTACATTCATAAATGATGGCACATCATTACACCAAAAACAGAAACTTTAATAAATTTTCAATAACACAACATACACACAGTGCAGTGGAGGGCACACAAACATCTTGCATATCTCATAAAGTGCTCTAGCACTATCTATGGAGGAATGCAAAGAAAAAAAAATGGCCACTACTATTGCAATAATACATAAACTCAGCTAAAGTTTTTACTCCAATTTCCACCTTAATGCAGATATGAAGAGCCGTTTTTTGAGTTGTACTAACATCCTTCTGTAAGACACTTCTGTGGCCAATAACTGTCTATTAATTAATAATGTGAAACACTGCAGAAAGGCATTAAGAGCTGGGTGTTGAAAGCAGGTAACAAAAGCACCCCTACTGCCACTACTTTGGCTGCTACCTCTTCCAACAAAGTCACCCTGACCACCTCATAGTGTACATACAGTATATACATATTGAATTCTTAAAGCACATACAAAACGTTTGGTGAGGTAATAATGAACACTGTAATAATATGTTATGTTATAAATGAATTGTGTGAAAGTTAGGATTTTTGTGTTATCAAAGCATCCAATCACATATTTTTTTAAGTTCATAACCTGGACAAAGGATGGGTACCTCAGCTTGTGTTTAATATTTCTTGACATATAGATACAAATCTTAAATCAATGTATTAAAAGTTCTTGAAGTTTATGCTCTCAAACTTGCATGAATGAAAAGCAACAATACATGGGCAACAATGATACATATGAAGGTGAAATAAAAGTGTGTAAAAATTGTAATAAACACTGTATCGCTACTTAACTTTGAGTTATAAATCTTTGTTCATGCCATGACTTATACATTTTCTCTCTTTTTATACTTCTTTCTAGCCTATTTATATCCCCATTGCATTGTATATTTCTGAATTCCTCTTGGAAAGATTACTACCTGTTATCATGTGACTATTCCCATACTGTTTAGTTATTCCAATAGTGCTACATTAACTGCACTCCACTCTTTTTTACTCTTGGCACTTTGTATAAATGCAATTTATTTTTTTCATTAACGAAGTTCCTGGTGTCGTGAGTGGCTGCATTTTAAATATTTTTTTTCTGGAAGTTTAGGGTTTTTTTCTTTTCTCCACTTCATAATTCTAATATTAACAGGTGTTTTTCTTGAGTTTTTTATGAATTCCAAGTTTAACATTAGTGATGAGAATTTTAGACATACTCTTTCTGGAAAAGAATTTTAACATGTTACTGTTCTCAGCTATGAGGTTTATGTGGGCTTTCTGTGTCCAATGTCCATCTTATGATTGATGCTGTCTTTATTTCCAGTCATTTTTCAATTAGACTTCTTATTAATTTTCTTTGAAACTAGGATTTTAGCTTCATCTTTTGTGGAAAATGAATGTGAAGAAGGGTTTTGTACATTAGAATTGCACTGTCTTATTGGCACTGAGGAGCATTTGTGGCCAAATGTCTCCTCCATTGGCCTGACATGACTTTTTGTCTAATATGAAAGACATTTTTACCTTGTTTGCTAATTCTTATTGTCAGTCTGATGTTCATTCTATTGATGTAAATCAAATACTTCTTTCTAAGGGGACACTGTATTTATACCTACACAGAAGTTTTCTGCAAAAGGCTTTGTTTGTTTGTGATAGTCAGAATAGGTTCTCTATGATTATATTGTCAAACTTACTAGCCAGCAATGATCAGTCCATTCATAATTATCTTTAATGCTTGTTACAGACTCTAGTATTTAATACTGTTCACATCAGATCCAAACAGAAGTCTCACAAGTGTCTATTCATCCCCTATCAGGAAATGGTGACAAATGAGCTTTTGGCCCTTTCTTTAACATATTGAATTAAGATTCTCATCTTACTTTAATCACTACCTGAATCTGGATCTTCAAAGGATGTTCTAGATTTCATCTCGCCAAATCTGCTACTTTACTGTGTCTCTGGCTGACAGGATGTAGAAATTATCCCATACCTTCATGGCCCATTACCTCAACTATATCCAGGTAACGTCAACAGAATGATTTTGCTCCACTCATCTTATAGTGTCTCAGATTTGCCAGTAAAAATGTTTATTGGGTGAGCTATTTATGTATTTGTTACTTTTCATAAGTGGAACTATGGTATTCCTGCTTTGAGCAAAACTAACTTTTGGCAAGCATCTACTCGGTACTCCTGCACTGCCTTATTTTGATGCAGTTGATATACACCCCTCCCTTTCCATGAATGTCTAGCCTTATGGGTAGGGGATGGGAGATGCTTTTTTTCACTCCTTATAATGTTTGAGTGAAGATTTCCAACTCTATTACTCTACTCTTGAGGTTTTTACTCAATGAACTGTAGGGTCAAAGCTGGTGTGTCCCTTGAGCAGCTTCTGAAGTTTGAGTTCTTGCTTACAAATTGATCACGGCAATGATTGTTTCAAATCAGTAATATTCTATCTCATAACATCATCTGTGTCAGTTGTATGGTTTTGTCAATGTAAAAATTGTTGTCTCCAGGGTTAAGTATGTCAAATGATTTTGACCATGCAAAGCAGCAAGTTGGGATAACCATAGCCAACAACATATTTATTTGTTTATGATGCTCTCTGTGAGATATAAAATCTGCACTCATCCTGAAAAAACCTAATCTGTCCTAACCTTCAAAGATGCAAACTCATACCCCTTATTGTATGATGTTTTATAGGTAGTGTGATGCTACCGAAAACTGAAGGGGAAGGGTGTGGATGCAGCACCTATGTATTTTTGTATGATCAGACTGTTCAAATAGGTGTTGGGAAACCTTCATCCTTGATTATGGAAAGCGTGAAAGGAAGAGTTGTATGCTTTGGATATGTCAGCCTTACGACAGAGCCTTTTGCAATAAAACTACTGGTTGTAAAATAGAGCATCACCAAACATACCATCTGCCTTGGCTCTACAAGTGCCCACTGTGAGATGAGGTGTTCCCCAAGACTACTTGAAGTTTCCTCACGATACTGATATATTTATCTATATGTTCAATCCAGACTGTACCCAGTCTATGGATTATCATGGAAAAAGCCAACACAGGATTAGTGTTTCTGCCCACTTCTCTGGGTAGTGCTTGCTGGCTTTTAAATATAAGGTTTTGTGGTCACCCACTGTACTCTCTTAAGTAAAAGATGGTCCTAGACAGAGAAACCAATGGAGATTTGAGCACATTCTCCAGGTCTACCCTACATGAATTCTCCCCTCATCATTAAATGGAGCACGGGAGGACATACCAGCCAACTTCCAGTCATTTGGTTGGTGAACCATAGAAAATCTTCACCAATAGGGACCTAACCATTGGTGCTAGAACAAAGATCCTTCTATTCTATGGTGAAAAGTGGGGCCATAGTGACACTGGAATGTAGTGTGTGTTGCCTCACATATTTAAGTACGGTACATCACAATCTCTAAGTGGACCATAAATACTTATCACTATGGTCTTTCTCCCAAAGGTGGTTTTGAACTTTCAAGTTCTGGTGGTAGAGGAGGTGACCACATGGCATACAGTCTGAAAAACACTCAACCTCACTACCTATATTGGCTGTCTGACTGTATGTGTGTGTTTTCAGATGGCTATATACCTATTCCACTCATTCTTGCACCACACTTTTGGCTTTTCTGCCTCTTTAATCTCCTACATGAGCAAAGAAATGAGATTCAGTCTCCCACAGATGTGCCCCTCCCACCGAGTCTCACACCCTATGCTTTCTAAAAGGAACTCACCTAGTTAATTTTTACACTGTTCCCTCCACCATCTCAGTGTGGAATTCTAGTTCTTTGTGTGTGGATGTGAGTATTCATTTTGAAAGTTAACATTTTCCTTACCTGGAAATGTATTTCCAATAGATACTCACCTCCTTACACATTCCCACCCATCCTTCCCACATCAGAGAATGAGGATTCACTAGCACAAATGTACTGGTAGTCATTGTGCATGGAGGTGTGTCACACTCGTTTTGGTGGAGGATTCTGCTGCATAATGATGTCATTATACAGTGGTGCAAGTTCATGTGTTTTCACATGAAATTAGGTTTTCACAATGTTGATGGCTTGCAAATCTCTTTAGCAAAATGTGCAAACTCAAGAGAAAAGAATATCACCATATATGGAGGTGAGTATGTATTGGAAATACATTTTCAGATAAGGAAAATGTTAACTGTTTATAATTCACCAACTCTGTTCATTTAGGGTTAAAACTGATATTCCTGTGAATGGTGTTACATTCATCAGGATTTAAGTTAGACATATAGTTATTCTCTTTATATCTTGATTGTTCTGGTGTTGGAATACTTGTTACACTACCATACTTTTAAATACTATACATACTGATTTTTTATTCATGTTTCTATTTTAGTGCCTACATAGCTCAGTTTCCAGAGTACACTATGCCCCTGATTAACCATCTCTTGAAGAGAAAGGTTCAACACTGGGACACTTCTATTAGAGAGCTGACAGCTCAAACCCTGTACAATCTTACATCAACATCCCCCACATTCATGGTGAAGGTGGCTTTACCATTGCTTATTCCTTTAACCAAAGGTATAGATTTATGTGCTCGACACGGTGGAATCCTGGCAGTTGCACAGATCATTCATGCTCTAGCAAATTATGCACGATCAAATAATCAGAAGATAAAGGACATTGTTGGTATGTATTTACTGGCATTTTGTGTAAATAACATATTTTTACTGTTAAAGAAACATTATTTAGCTATGTTTTTGAAAATAGTTCTTGATAAATGGACATTTTTGCTAGTATTTATTGACACACCAGGAACATTTTTTTTACAGAAAAATTATTCACTTTTATAAAGGTTTTGTACAGAAATGAGAAAGTTAGTAATTCATTATGGTAAGATCTGATATTGTTTGTAACTGCAATTTTCATCTTTTCACTATATTTCTTAATTTTCAGTACATGTCATCACAAAGTGTATCAATGAAATACTTTATTATTCTAAAACAAGCCTCACAAAATATCTTACAACTAGTTTCATCCTTGGGCCCATGTAAGGTGATAGTTAATTAAAGACTTGTTTCAATGTTGAAAACAATGTTCTTATTGTTCATTTATGAACCTCACCTAGTAAGCTTGAATATTGTTTCTCAGGAATATCAAAATTTTTCTATTTTTGGTAATAATTATTGAACACCAGAATTTGCTTTACATTAATTTACAAAACATTACCATTAAATCATGCTGCTACATCTATTTTCATGGATCTTGGTATACAATTTTTAAAGATATTGTTGTGTCAGCGAGGTCACGTGACTAGTGTCACGCCACCCGTTTTCTAGAACTATCCTGTTCCTTTGGGAGTGCTCTAGCATTTGCTAGATTGGGGGTGGCCTGGTATATATATAAAATGGTCACGGCATGACGTGACAATGTGTGTAGGTAGTGAGTAATTGAACTGCAGTCAGAAAGTGTTGTTGAAGTTAACGTTCGTTGTTATAGCGTTTGTTATAGAGCGACTGTTGAAAATAAGTGTATCGGTAAAGTTATATTCAGAAAGAATAAACCAGTTTTATTAAGAAAGGACTTGTGTCGCTAAAGTTTTGTGAGAACGAAGTTACGGAAGATTAACTAACGAACGGAGACGTAACATTATGTTATTGGAAATAAGTACTCTGTTATGTGCAATGTGAATTGCTTTGAATAAATTTTTTCTTAGTATTGTGAAAAAAATTATACATCCCATGCCTTCACATTCGATGGGTGCCATTGAACTGATGTTTGTAAACTTATGTAAGTCTGTTACATTTGATTTACCCAAAATTTTGGTTGTTAAAAGTGAAATATCTTGAATGTGTTTTAATGCTTAACATTTTTGGCATTAAACGTAACTAAGATGCTATACACATAGGTAATAAAGCTCAAAATATGTGATTGAAAAGATGAATAACAGTGTTTGAGAGTTACTGTCTAATTTATTTTTTGCAATTTTATAGTTTCTAATTACTGTCTATTTTCAAATTTACATCTTCATCTAATATTTCTTTATTTTAGATTAAATCTATAGTTGGCATTTCTGTTTAATTTGCTTTTTCCCTGCTGGAAATTCCAGCTTCATCATCAACTGCTAGTCTATGCTGGCCACCAGCTAACATTGTGTTTTGAGACTTCTAGCTGATCATTTGCTGGTGAATCATTGCTGATCAGCAGATACTTCACAAATGCTGTAAAAACCATTATAAATCAGTAGGTATTGTTGTTTGCTAATGTTGGCCAGCATATGTTAGTAACTTGCTAGTGATACAGTATTGACCAGCATGTTTTGGTTGCTTGCTGGTGAGTCCATATTGACCATCATGTTTTGGCCACTTGCTTGTAAGTCAGTACTGACCAGTGTGTTTTGGTCACATTTTTTTGAGTCACTACAAGGCCAGCATGTTTTGGTTGTTTGTTGGTGAGTCACTACTGACCAGCATGTTTTGGTCACTTCCTAGAGTAATGAGATTGCAACTTTTGTTCTGACAAAGTAAATATATTCAGAAATTGAAGAATTGTACAGCTTTTTTTTTTTTCTTGAATTCATTTATCAAACAAAATTGTAGTTTTGTAGGCGAAATAGAATGGGTAAAGAAGAAACAAAGCTACTATAATTTATGTATTTCTAGAATAGGTTTCCAATATTTCAATTAACAATTTGTTTACTTTTGTTTTTAAAACCAAATGAAATTTTGCAGAAAATTTTAAAGTTTTTAGTACCTCAAATATTTTCCAGTAATAATAGATAATTAATATAAATCTCATCTTTCTTAGTGGTATAAATTTGATGAAGAAAGTTCTCTGTTTGATTATCAAAAACGTTAAAGGTGCTGCTTTGAAATGACTCAAAATAACCTGTATTTTGCCATTATTTACTGCTAAGGGTAGTAACTACAAAAAGTAATAAGCAAGCCAAGTGCAACAACAAATGCTGGACTGAATACTTTCAACACAAGCACCTAGCATATACAGCTGGTGGATCCTTACTTTATATCTCTCCCAAATTTTACAGTGTATGCTAATTCTAGCACTAGCAGCTTGAAGCAGTGAATTCAGTGTATATGTGCCTAATTACCTACTTCTTTTTAGTTGTAAATAAATATTTATTCTTGAAAAGCATGACACTTTCAAGGCAGTACCTCACCTCCATACACAGAATAGCTTGATCCCTCAAGCATCTACCTATGAGATTTGGTGCCATTAGCCTTGAGCTAATTCTCACTTAAAAATCATGTGTCTAATGTGAACTGCACTATTGCATGATGAGATCATCATGCAACAATAGCCCTCCACCAACAGGAAGGTGACATAACCTCCTTGTGCTGTACTCTTCCTAAGCAGTCGTGCTCGAAATAGCTTCATTCTTTTCCTCAGCATTGTCTTGAATGGACATGCTTTAAAATTATTAGTTAAATATGTGAGATTTGCAGTAGTTTAGGAAATTGGAACTTCAATCAAATTTAACTGTTTGTTTACAAAAAAACAAGGATAAAAATTTTTTCCTTCTTACCCATTGTGAGTTCTCAATTGACAATAACTTCTACTTCATTCTGTGATGGTGTTACTAGCATGGGACCTGTGGTTACTAGACGCTCATATGTGGAAGATGTAACAGCCATTGTTCAACAAATTGTAGGTTTTTCAGATTCTCACCCATGATCTATCTTTCCACTTCTCCTTCTACTCTTTCTCCTTTTCCTGTTTCCTTTCCTCTTCCCTCCAATGCTGTTTTTCTTCAGTGTATTGAGGATATGGTCTCAGATCTCTTAGCCAAGAACACCATCAAGAGAGTATTAACCCCTATTCAGGAATATTACTTTAATCTCTTTATGGTTCCTAAAAAAAACTGTGGACTGACATCTGGTTATTGACCTTTTCTCTTCAGACAGTTTCTCATTGTCCTGCAGTTCTGAATGAAGGGTTGTTGTTTTTTCTCTCCATTGGTCCTTTTCACCTGGTGTATGAATAACCAAGCTTAACATGTTGGACACTTTTTTATACATTTTTGAATACCTTGTCTTCTAGATATTTTCCCTGTTTTGTCTCTCAGTGTTTTGTCTTCCAATACCATACTCTTCCTTTTTTTGGCATTGCATCTTCACCTTACCTCTTCATTATGACATGGATGAATGGCTTCTTCTCAACCCTTCTCAAGAGGACTCATTCTCTTCTACTTGCATTTTTCTACAGAAAGCTGCTTGGCTTGATGTCAGGGCTTTTGCTCATGTTGTCAGTGATTTCCCTGTTAGGTGTGGCCCTGCGGTAGCCCATCTATCTCTCTTTATCAGAATTTTATCTCTATTTTCATTTGGCAGATGGTTTCTTTAGGTTCTAATCCACAGCCAATTTCTTCCCTTCTCTTTACTCCCTTCTTCTTTTCCATTTACCTTTCTTCATTCCTCTGTCCCCCTTCATCTCCAGTGTCTTCAGGATATGATCTCAGTTCTCTTTCCCAATAACACAATTAGGAGTGTATTAACCCCTACACCTGGTTATTAATTACGATTCTCTTTTTATGATCCCCAAGAAACTTGGAGTCTTTATCCAATTATTGACCTGTACTGGTTTCTTGTCATCCCTTGGTTCCATGTGATAGGTTTCTTTTCCCTCCAGTGGTTTTTTTCACCCAGTGGATGACCAAAGTTAATGTTTTGGACACCTTTTTTACACATTCCATTCACCCTGTCCTCTAATTTTGTTGTTGTTGTTGTTGTTTTGTCCATCTTGATCGGGTCTTCTATTTCCATGCTCTTTTTTTTTAGCATTTTGTCAGTTCCATAGATCTTTATTCATGTCATAGGTGCATCTGCCTGCCTTGTTCACAGATTGGGGCTGAGGTTCCATTATTACATGGATGATTGCCTTCTCCTTGCCTCTTTTTGAGGATGACATCTCTTACACCTGCATTCTTCTGCAAGAGGCTGCTTGTCTGGGCTAGCTTGTAAAGCCTGCCCAGACAAGTCTCACACTTACCCTATACTTAATACATCTGGGCATGTTCTTCACATCCTATCTCAGTCAGACATAGCCTTCACCACTTTGCTTAAGAAAGATAAAGTGTTTTGTCACCAAGTTGCTTCATTTTTACACCCTGTGCATGAGATTATTTTGCTTTTGAGAACTCTGACTTCTCTTAACCCGTTACGTACCATGGCCATTATCTTAAGGGCAAAATCACATTTGTGAATTGAAGAAATTATAGAGAACTTATCTTTTATTGAATTTTTTATTTTATTTTTGTAAATAGTAGCATAACATTCAATTATTTGTACAAAATTGTATTATTTAATGAAGTTTAAAGAGGAATTTAATGAAAAAAATTCGAAAGTACATCTAAGAAGAAAATTATTTTTCAAACTTTTTAAAAAATTTTCCTTCCACTTCAGCCCTGGTCTTGCCATCTATGATCGGTATTTAAACCTTTTTGTAGTCTGTTTTTTTTATAAAACAGCATCTGGGCGTGTTAAACCTCAGTTGTAAAACTTGTAGCCAGTCCTAGTCAAAGGTGTCAATTTCAGTACCATGTTATTCCAATCACTGTATTTCACGTTTGACAAATCATAGGATGATAAGGAAAGCACGTCACAAAAC